CCTAGCGGTAGGTTTCGGAAAGGTGAAAAAACATATATTTAATACTTGCGCCGGGTGTTTAATGTTCGGCTCCACACGAACTTAGACTTTCTTACTTGTTGATATTAATGTTTTTTGATGATAACAGGCTATAGTTTGGCGGTAACAAATATTTTTTGGCGGTTTTCTTCTGTATATATGTACACCATTAAGTGACCGGGTCTAAAGTTCACTTCACTTTTGTTTGTGTTATGTAAATTGTATGTTTTCACAGGTGCCTTCCTGTTCACTGTTTTTCGCGTTAAGTGATTGCTTGTGGATTTGTTTATAATCACTTTCGTGCTTTGTAATAAATTTTCACTTATATAGTTTTTGTTGTTGTGTCCATATGCCCATAGGTGCCTTTCGTTACGGCGAGGAAGGACCATGGCAACGCGAGAGGGAATCTTCGCGTTCGTTTGAAATAAAACCCACTCGCGTTTTTTATAAACGCTATAAGGGTTTATTTAACAACTAAATTATGTTTAACAGGTCTATTCTGCGCTGGTAATAAAAAGTTTGTAACCGGTAAATAAAGTTCCTGTCAATTTTTAAACCCTTTTCGCATTCTCTGTACTCTTGTAACCGGTAAATTTTGCTACCATCTCATAAGTTGGTAACAAAGGATTGCCCCGTGAAATATGCAATGCCAGAATCTGCATAATTTTTCTTAGCTGAATTGCTGAATATTTTAACTGCATTACCAACGATCCTAGAATCGCGATGACAAGAACTGGTAACATTTTTTGGTAATAAAATTTTTCGGTTACAAAATCTTCGGTAACGTGCAGAAGGTATATATATATACGGAATGAAAATATATATGTTAATTACGTCCGGGAAATGTTTTCTGTGGTGGCCGTTTTCCCGTGTGCGCTCGGTTAGACGGTTGAATTTGGAGTGCTTTTCCTTTCTCCACTTTCTTTTTACCATAACCATAAAGTGGTGCAAAGGTGCAGAGAGGCCATTAGGGTGCTCCTTCATTACAATCGGGCGATTGTATAGTTGGCTTAGTTCGGAAATGTGCTAAGTCCACTTTTTATGAAAATTGAGATTTTAATGCCGTAAGATAGCACAACTCAAAATACATCATTACAAAAAAAAAGTTATCGTAATATCGTTCTTAATTGTTATGCAGTGGTATGCAAATGTGCTAAGTCTAAAAGAAATCAAGAAAAAAATGTAGACGATAACTCGAGCAAATATTAAGATATCTCAACGAAATTTGATATGTACCTTTATACAAGGTAGGTTAGTATTAAAATGGGCGAAATCGGACTGTAACCATGCCCACTTCCCATATAAAGGTATTTTCCAAAAATGCAAGAACTACGATATTTCAGTAAATATTGTATGCAAATTGTTGAAAATTAGTATGTGATGAAGAATTTTGGTAAAAAATTATTATGACATTTTTGGAAAATGGGAGGGAAATCGGACAATGACTGCGCGCATCTACCATATTACGGTAATTTACAGAAACACGAAAACTGCGATCAATAACTACTAAAGCTAATTCACTTAAAATCGATGGTTGCGATAACCACTTAGCATACAATTAGATTATTATCAATTTTTGGATAATGGGCGTGCCGCCGCCCACTTATGACCACAAATGTGTAACTCGGTAACCGATTTATAAAGTTCTACCAAACTCGGTGAACTTAATAACCTTGGTATGGAAAAACGATTCGTTGAATATGATTCAAGTCGGACTAAAATCACACCCGCCTCTCGCCTATCGAACGGTAAATTTCAGAAATACGGAAACTCTGATATTTCAATAACTGAGGACACTAAATTACTCCAAGTTAATACTTACAGCAATATCTTAACAATAAATAAGACTGCTATAGACTTTTAGAAATTAGGCGTGACACCGCCCACTTTATGACTACAAAGGTGTATTTCGGTTACCACTTTATCGATAAATCTTTTAACAATAAAAAAATAATGAAAAACATGTTGATAGAAAATGTGCTAAGTCCATACTAAAAGAACAAAATCATAAAGAGAAATAAAATTGCTTTTTGTTGCCGCTTTTAAGATATTTGCCTTTTTTAACTTTAATTGTAAAGAGCAATGGAAAAAGCCCTTATTCCTTGTAATATGAAAGTTCCATATTTAAATTGGGCACCCTTGTATCAACTCGTTTAGTACATTCAAAGCCTTTCTTCGCGAAAATCTAATGAAAACGCTGCCAGAAAACTTCAAAATGCATCTTTTGGTTCAATGTTGCTATAACTAGAGATTAAAATTTTGTGAATTAAAAACTAGAAAGGAGAAAATTGTCAAAGATTCAAACTACACATTTTTTATATAATGGAACCAGTTCACAGTTTTTCTCTTTTTACTGGAAAAATAAACATTACAAAAATGTATTTTTTGATTATTTTTCGGTTTTTGTCTTTTTTAGTGCCTTCTTTTGCCTTTTTTGTGATTTCTGGTGGCTTTTCCTGCCTATTTCGCTTTTTTGTTTTGCCTTTTCTAGCCAATTTCATTATTTTATTTAGCCTTTTATAAAGATTTTTTGGTCCTAAAAACCCGTTCTCTGGTAATGATTAATAAACAAAAACATTAAACAAAAATATATAAAAACATTTCTCTAAACATTTTTATTCTACTCTATAAAGAAATGGCGAATGGCCAATTTTTTGCCATTCTTTTTCGCAAATTACTCGAAATTTTGAGGGTGTACGAGTCAAATGGATCTCAGAATCGGATTCGGCGGGTCGAAATGCATGTTGGTAGGTGGGTCTGGTTAAAAACACACACCCGTTTTTTCTGCCGGTCTTAGTATATTGCACTTAAATGTTTTCGTAAGAGCAGCAAAGCATTCAAAGCGGAGTCTTCTAATCTTGACCTAAAGTTTTTACATACAAAACCTACTGATGAAAAACATATTTCAGCCTCACCACTTTTAGGCTGAACTGTCAAAAGGTAGTCATAAGTACGGTGACCATTCGTACTGATTTTGGCGGGACAGTACCGATTTTGAGAAAATTGTCGTTCTGAATATTTTTTTAAAGTCGGGATGCATACGTTTTTTAAGCTTTTTAATTAGATTTCTTAGAATAATTATGAGTACGTTTGATTTTTAGTAAATTTTTTTGTGGAAGGTGTTTCTCATTTTCTCCATAAAAAAATTTTTGTACAAACTTTTTAGGTCCAAGCTAGTTTGAAGTTTATTATACTATAATTTAAAGGGCTACAAAACCGTATAGTGTAAACAAATCTGATCAAAATGTTTTTGAAATGAAAATGAATTTTTATATTTATATTGTGTGCATACATTTTTCAAGTTTTCTTCTCTTTGTTTTGTTTTACATGAAACTGTATTAAAAGATGTTATGTCTTTTTATTCTAAAAGCAAAATTGTATGTTTATATACAATGCTTTAGAAATCTCCCGATTTTTGATAACAGAAATCTGGTCACCGTAGTCATAAGCATTTTGAAGATAATGACCCCTATCTTCTCCATTACAAATTATTTGAACTTCGTCTACAAGCACGTCAGACAAATTATATTTTTCGATTTGAGGAAGTTTTGAATAGAAAGATGTAAAAAATTATCTAACTTTTCCTTAAAGCTCTTTGTTTCGTTTACATTAGCGACATTATGAGTAAATTCATTTAAATCTTCCTTAAAAAAGTACAGTTTCAAGTGTTTTATAAATGCAGTCAAAACGGCATTTTACAAAAATCATACTTCAAAATTCATAAACAAGTTCCCGGGATCCCGGGTTTGGCATCCCTAGTACATAAATATGTAAGTATGCATTTCCATATACATACATACATATGTGTTTGGTTTTATAACTGTATGAGTCTATATATTAACAGATCATTTTTACTTACATATTGAGGTATTTCACTTGAAAATCCTGCCCAATCATAAGCACGTGGTAAGCCGCAATATGTTCGCATTTCATTATAAGACGGTAATCCATAGTCTCGTCCACGCTGTATATCGATTGCTTTCAAGTCAGCTCCAAACTCTTCAAAACCTTTACGATCAAAGAAGTGCTTTATCTGTAATAAATATAATTACTTCATATAAGTATGTAATTATTATGAGTTCTATGAAATTAATCATTATTTTAAGATTCTAAAATTTGCAATCAATTATAATATAAATTTCTGAGTTGTAATGTATTGTTCGTAAAAAAGATTAGGTATCCTACATACATATGCATTAGGTAGCCCATCGATTTTTTTTTTTTTTAAACTTCAATACCCTACCCCTAACTATTTATGGGAAATTTTATTGCCGCGACGTGTCATTGAAGGTCAGAAAGTACGGTTTTGTAGATTTATCAGTTTTTGAATGACAAGTTTTTATTAAATTTTAAAGGACGAACATATTGTAAGAAGAGGATTTATAGGCCTTTAAAATGATGTTTAATAATCTATTCTCAGATTAGGTTTGTCGAGATTTATCATCGGGCAAATTAAAAAAAAAACATTTGTTCTTATTTTTTAAGTTTTGACCATCACTGATTTCCACAATTTCAAAATATGTAGTACCATCCAAAATTAACTCTATTTTCAAATTGATACTACATTTATTGCAACGATAATAAAATTGCCGAAGTTAGGCAACTTTTCCTAAATACGGCCTAGAATTTATATTTTGTATGTACTGGACTTTCAGATTTTTTGACTTGTGTCCCTAAGGAATTCATCAATATTTATTCAAAATTGATATATACGATCGCTCTTTAGCAAAAAAGTGGTTTCTCTCCGCCCACTTATATCATATATGCGCATCTCAAATACTACTTCACCGATCTCGACGAAATTTGGTATACACATAGCGCATATTGAACATTTTTGAAATCGGACAAAAACCATAGATTTCACCAACGTAACGGTAATTTCAAAAAACTCAAAGCTAGCTATATTTTAGGAGGAGTAGGTTTTGCCCGCTTTCAAAAATATTCAAGACGGTGCTTAAATATTGATGAATTCCTTAGGGACACTGCTAAAAAATATCTGAAAGTCCGGTACATACAAAATATAAATTCTAGGCCGTATTTAGGAAAAGTTGGCTAACTTCGACAAATTTTATACCATTGCAATATGTGTGGTATCAGTTTATTTGGAAATAGATTTAATTTTGGATAGTACTACATATTTTGGAAATGTGGAAATAAGTCGAGCCCTAACCGCCAAAAGGGTGTAAGCGACAAAAAGTAAATTTTACAGTGGGCGTTGTTTTTATTAACACGGCAACTTAAAGACATTTATTCTTACATAAAAGAACATCTATTCTCGAATAAATTGGTATCTCACCTAATGCAGTTGCATAAAATTTGTCAAAAACTTATGATATCAGCAAAAATACGGCCCTGAATTTATATGTGTATGTACCGGACTTTCAGATTTCGTGACCAGAGTGGCCAAGGAATTCGTCAATCTATATATATAAAAATGAAATGTCTTTCGTATGACGGCGATGCCTGACCAAATGGTTGAACCGATTTCAATTCTGTAAAAAGCACATTGTTGGACGTTCTGTGTGGAAGGTTCTTTGATTTAAAAAAATTTGAAATTTTTTGTTGTTGTTGCCGAAAAATGCAGAAAGCTGAGACGTCACGATTTCAAAATTTCATAGAGTTTTCCGTATATTGAATGTCACTAAACTACTAAACGGCTGGACCGATTTCGTTCATGTTTGGAACATATTTCAGCACATTGAAGGGAAATATTTCGACTAAAAATTTAATCACTAGGTGGCGCTGGGGTCGGGGTATTCATAAAAATTGCATTTACTTGCTGATTTGGCTTATATTTAGAAAACAATTTAGCCAATTTAAAAGAAATATTTGGACTTGAAACTTACACGATAGGCTGCCCTGTGGCCGAGACATCCCCAAAAATTATTTTACGCTAAGAGAAGGATATATCTACTATATATTTGTGGAAGTATGTATGTATGTATGTATGTGCCAGGTTGCAGCCTAAACGGACGGACAGAATCGAACAAAATTTTGACAGAGTATTACCATGACACCTGGGCCTATAATAGGGTAAAAAATTGGGATTCGACAAGGCACCTCCCATAGGCGTGAAATTTTTAATCAGCCATAATTTCGAAACTATAAGTCACATGAACTTGAAATTTGGTATGCAGTCATATATATGGCAGGTGCTTACAGTAGAGCATATATAAATGACTTTGTAAAAGTGGGCGTGGCACATCCCATAGGCGTGAAATTTATTATCAATCATAACTTCGGAACCATAAGTCACATGAACTTGAAATTTGGTATACTGTCATATATATGGTAGGTGCTTATAGTATGGTATAAATAACTGAGTTTGTAGAAGTGGCCGTGGCACATCTAATGGGCGTGGAATATTTTATCAGCTATAAATCCGAAACTATAAGTCATATGAACTTAAAATTAGGTATGCAGACATATCTGCGGTAGGTGCTTACAGTAGCTATATATACATGAGTTTGTAAAAGAAGCGTGGCACATCCCATAGGCGTGAACCCTTTTATCAGCTATAACTTGGGAACCATAAGTCCCAAGAACTTGAAATTTGGTGTGCGGGCATATTACGGTAGGCGCTTTAAGTAAGGCATAAAGAACTGAGTGGAACATGCCATAGGCGTGGAAAATTCGGAATCATATGTCACGTGAAATTGAAATTTGGTACGCAGACGTATCTATAGTAGGTGCTTATAGTAGGCTATAAATAAGTGAGTTTGTAAGAGGGGGAGCGGCACGTCCCATGGACCTGGAATGTTTTATCAGCTATAACTCCGGAGCTATAAGCCGCTTGAACTTGAAATTACGTACGCAGCCATTTTAATGGTAGGTACTTATATTAGGGTATATAAATGAGTTTGTAAAAGAGTGCATGGCACATCCAATAGGCATGGAATTTTTTATTAGCTATAACTTCGGAGCTATAAGTCCCACGAACTTGAAACTTAGTATGCAGATATATCAATGGTAGGTGCTTATATATAAATGGGTTTTTAAAAGGGGGCTTGGCACATCCCATAGGCGTGGAAATTTTTATCAGCTATAATTTCAAAACCATAAAAGCAAATGAAATTGAAATTTGGTACGCAAACGTATCTATGGTAGGTGCTTATAGTATAGGGCTGCCAGATATTTCTGTGGCCAAACCGGGACACTTTAGGGGGGAAAGGGGGAGAGGGGCTTCCCTTTCGCTTCGAAAAAATTACGCGCGAAAGGATGTAGTAAAATTTTATTTTGACAGACAAAACTAAAAACATGAAAACATGAGATCATGAGATCTTTACAACGTCCGCCAACAAAACAAAACAACTTATCACAACTAAAGCACAGAGAATTTTTCACAATGCACGCACCTTTTTTATACTTTATAAAAATACAGTTTATACTAAATACATCAAAACACATAAATATAAAATTTCTAAACTTTGTTCTAAACTCGGGAAAATTCAATAAATTTGCATACAAATTTGCAACTTTCTAATGAGACTCATAAAAATTTAAAAAATGAAGTTTTGCAGCCCATAAAATTTTAGTTGATTTTTGGCATTGTTCTTACTGAGAGTTTCTTCTATACAAACTATGTTCCATAATTCTTTTTATATGAAAGACACTGTCAGCAAAAAACAATAAATGCTAAAAATCAACCGAATTTTCTGGCAACTTCAGACTTGCACTTTATTAATTGGCTCAAAAGCTACATTTTCAAAATTTTTCTAAAGAATCTGATTGGAAGTTGTGATTTGATGAAAGAGCCTCCGAGCAAATAATTTAGTACGGCACTGTTAAGTAGTCTAGGTTTCATGAAAGAAAAAAAGATTACCGATGACCTTTTGTTAATAAGAGTTCTTGCGAACATTACGCTTTCAACTAATTCGACATTAAGCCTGTTCCTGTATTTATTTTTAATGAGATTCATCTCCGAAAATTTTCTTTCGGCAGCAGCACTACTGTGTGGTAAAATAGCTAATGTCAGCTTATACTCTGCCAAATTGCTAAACATACACACATACACAAAACATTTTTCTGGTCCTTAACCAATCCCTTGCTTTGAAAAATAAAAAAGTGATTCCGCAAAAAAGGGTTAAAGAGTAAGAGAGTATACAAAATCTTGGTGCCACAAAAGTGATTGGACAAAAATTTTTTAAGTTAATTATTTTGTAATATATTGCTAATGTGAATGGAAAAAATTAAAAAAATTCTGAGCATATTTCGGGCCAAGTGGAGTAGGGAGTAGATTTCAAATTTAAAAAAGAAATCGGAGTAAATCTACCCAATCGGAGCAAAGTCCAGACGCTGGTTACAATTAAGAAAGCGCGCTAAATTTAAAAAAATGCGCATATGAAAGAGCACCAACCCAACTCGTAATTCATTTAAGTATAACAAATTTAGTATAGGAATATTCAATTCAAATACGCCCATATTAAAATGAAGCGCTTTGCACTTACCGATTGCTTTTTCATAATTAAGTTAAAAAAAATATTTAAATTCCATGCTGCCTGTAATGGGATTTGACCCTGACCCTCTGGAAATTAGCAAATTGTGGCAAGCATTTTCACGCATAGACATGTATGTAAATGTGCATTCAAATGTTGAGTTTGAATCAACACCCCGCGTGCGTGGTATGAAAATATTATTTTAAAATACGAACATTTTAAAACGATAATCAAATAAAAAATATTCATTTTTACTGTGCATTATTTCCCTCAGTGAATTCATAAAATTTCCCGAAGATTACAACGCCTTTTTTCTCTTAGTGTAGTGATCAAAACGAAAACCGAGACACTTAAACGAAACCCGGGACATTTTAAGGTTGGACCGGGACACCGGGACAAATAGTCTAAAACCGGGACATGTCCGGGAAAACCGGGACGTCTGGCAGCCCTATTATAGTAGGGTATCTTATTATATAAATATCCCGTGTCACTGTCTTCGTTTACCCTAGTCTCCGATACCGCTTAACCGATTTCAATGAATTTTGTGGGTATGTATTGTTGGCTCCAACTTAAAAGATAAAATTTTTTTTTTCGTCGA